TTAACTTCGATCTTAGAAAAAGTAACTATGTTTTGTCAACAGCCCAAGTTTCATACAAAAAAATTACAGTACATCCTGACACAAGTTTTCTGTGGTTTTCCTTAGTCCTTCCAAATAGATGCTGGGGCAGTACCTCACATAGGCTAAAATTGCTTCCTTCATTATTTCGAATTCACTGTTCATTAACCATCACATCATTCACCACTATATAATTTGTGCTACCAACGGCATTTAAAGAAAGACACACAGATGTCAGGAAAATGGAATTAAGTAATTTTACCAGCGTACTTAACAACTTATAAAATTACATACATACATGATTTTAATGATTGTGATGTATGTTTATAAATTAATGCCAGATTTATACAGTTTTATAAACTTACAAAATATCTCATTATAATTATAAAGAATACAAAACTTTAATAATCATAACACACAGTAACGTGCATTAATACTCCATCCTCAAAAAACATACATGATCAATGCTCACATAATTAAGAGTAAGTGTCCTCTGAAGAGTTGATCAGAGGAGCCAAATGATAATTTAACTAAAAAGCAACTACAGAATTACTAGTAAACCATGAATACAACTTTGCACACACAAATTTAAGAAAGACATTTTTCCTGACAGTATGCAATACACAAACCAATGCCTATCTCTGAATACTCATACAAAAGCCCATTGAAACTCAATGGCTAATGACTTCTTTCACATCTTAGTCCCTCGCCCTCCTTTATCTCCTTCCCTCCTTTTTTTTCATCCCTTCCTTGGCCTTTCTCACACTTCCCTGCTATCATACCCCCCCCCTCCATTTCAGGTTACAGGTTACATGTCACATCACATTATCTAAGACAGGTTACCACACTTTTCCAAACTGAAGGCCAGATTCAAACTTGCCTATCATCTCGTGAGCCTCAAAGTTTCATACAGATGAAAACAGTTTATAAAAATTCATAGCAGTTAATAAAAAATGCTACCAACCTACTATTTCCAATAGGTTAACATACTGCTAAATAATTTTCTTTGTCAAAATCAGTCATTCAATAACTGACACCTCCCTCTGCTTGAGATTCAGTTTCCCTACTTGCAATCCACGTGCACCCCTTAAAGCGCCAATCAGCGATTTCTTCATTAAGCTGACAGCAACAGACACTTCAAAATACTGATGACATTAACAAAACACGGGTTTCTGATAACAGAGAAATATTCTTCATAATACTGATACATTAGGCATTTTATAAAAAAATGTATGCAGGCCACACTTAACACATCGGAGGACTGCGTGTAACTCGCGTCGAGAACCTATGGTCTGAACCCAATTACATTAATTATGTCCTTAAATAAACTGACATAAAACAGGATTATACCCACATTTTATATCATAAAAGAGTTTCCATCACACTGAAGCTATTCTGCTCCATGTCATAGGAAAGTCTCGTACAACCAAAGAACCTCTCCGAGTATCCTGGTACACATTAACATTTCATACTTCACCCCAATTCAACCTAGTGTCCGTGTTGTTTCAGACTACGTAAGTGCCGTAATCATAGATCTGATCCCTGTATTGCACTGCTGAAAACACCCAATAAATTTAAACTGTTACACTTTTGCCAAAAAAACAGTATAACAGGATGAAGTTAATTCACAAGGAAGCAAAAATGTACACATTCTAGATGAATGAAACAGAACAAAATAAAAGATGCAATTACTGACGATTTCTGTGAATCTTACACCAATTCATATCAGGCAAGACATCACAAATACTAGCCAAAATAATGGACTGACCGCAAAACATGTCATATCAGTTTCCAGAATTAAAATGAGAAAATAAGTCAGGTTTAACATCGGTACATGTAACATGCCCACAAAGGCTTACTTGTCCTGAAGAGATGAGAACGAGGATTCTTTATTTTGTTCTACCATGACGCAGAACATGCTTACTAAGATGGAATTTCCGAACGAATGACAGCCCACATACGCCGCATGAAAATGGCCTTTCTCCACTGTGTGTCCGAAGGTGCACTTTTAACGTACTTGAATCGAAGAATGTTAAGAAACAAACTTTACAAGTATATGGTCTTTCACCAGCGTGTACACGATTATGCAACACGAGACCCGCCTTTTGCCTGAACGATTTATTACATAGAGTACATGTATGTGGTCGTTCGCCAGTGTGTATAGTACTGTGCAAATTGAGGTTACCGATGTTAGTAAAAGTTTTGTTACAGAGTTTGCACTCATACGGTCTCAATCCTACATGCAGTTCGGCAGTATGCCTCTTGAGGTGATACTTACGGATGAAAGACTTGTTGCATATTTTGCATACGTGTTGTTGCACTAACTTACTTCCAGGATGTTTTGTACTAATATGCCTGTTTAGATGACCCACACAAACATAGGCTTTATTACATATAACACATTTGTATGAAGTGTCTTGAATGTCTGTACCTTCTTCCATACTCTCTGGTGCATGACGAGACGATTCATCATCATCACCACCATAACTCTGAATTCCATACTGCTCGATGAAATCAGTCTGAAACAAACATATAAGAAATAATGGTTTCCCAATTTTATGACTAGACCAGTTTCAATTCCATGATCCCACGTACCTCTTCTATTTTTATGTTCTGATTAGTACTGTCTTCCTGAAGAAAATCAGTCTGAAACAAATACACATGAAAGAGAAGCTATCCAATTGCATGACTGGCAGTGAGCTATACTTTCAATTGCATGATTACACATACCATTTCCACTTTAACAAAATGGCTGCGTGTATTCTCTTCTTGATGACAGTGAGTCTGCAACAAATACAAACAAAAGAACTGATCTGGTAATTTCTTTGCCAGTACAGTATTAGAAACGTTCGAAATGCACGATTTCACATACCTCTTTTGTTTTAGTTCTATTCTTTGTTTTCTCTCCTCGAAGATTCCGAGTCTGAAACAAATAAATACGTGTGAAACAACTGACAATGTTATTGTTTTGGGTTATAATACTGTGTACATAGTGCACACAAATACCAAGATTTCTGAAAAATATACTGCCTGTCTTCAATCCTGAAGATGAAGGTAGTTTGTTACTCCAAAACATTGGTATCTACCTCGAAGTCTGTTTGGTATCACAACCCAAAAGAATTTTCTCAAGACCGCAAGAACCCAAAATCTCACATAAGAAATAACTTGTCGCCACTGTCTTTGACAAGAAGTGTTAGAGAACTTTCAATTGCAAGAAATTGCATACCTTTTTTGCTTTTTTTCTACACTTTGTATTCTGTTGTAGAAGTCTGTGAGTCTGTAAGAAAAACATACAAATGACAAAACTGTTTGTTACTTTCTTGAACACAATTATATTAAGAATGCATCAATCACATGATTTTACATACCTTTTCACTTTATTTCTTTTATTTGAATTCTCTTCTTGAAGAACGAGTCCTAAACATATATGTACATACAAACGAATTACTTGCTACTTTCTTGACCACGATGCAGGAACCCCGACTACATACACAGCAATCACGTCCCCAAAAGCAGTTGTACCTCAAAATTGTAGTTACTCTTCTGTTTCACTGCATTTACTTCTCATTTTAAAATGTGTAATTCAATTTGCATTAAATAGCACTCATTTGTGAAATATGTGAAATTTAATTTGTTAGTTTCAGGAGAGCAATTTCTGTACTTTTTAGTCCTCCCTCCATTAAATCAACAAATCACGCGAAATCCCTTTTCCATGAAAATCGCTGCAGTCAGGGAATACAAGTAATGTCAGGAGAGTTTCACTTGCATAATTTCACATACCTCTTTTACTTTAATTCTAAGATTCGCATCCTCTCGTTGCAGATCGTGAGTCTGAAACAAACACATATGAAATAACTGTTTACTCTACCTTCTTGACCAGATCAGTCTTAGGATGACTTCAATTGTGTGACCTTACATACCATTTCTACTTTGGTTCTACGTTTTGAATCCTGCTGTTTCAAACTCAGTGTCTGAAACGAATACAAATCAAATAATTATTTGCTACTTTCTTTGGCAAAAATGGTGTCTCAACTGCGTGATTTCACGTACCATTTTCACTCTATTTCCACGCTTAGTATTCTTTTCTTGAAGACTGCCAGTCTGAAACAAACACACACACATGAAAGAATAGTTTTGTTCTCTTAAACAGAACAGTGCTAAGGAAATTTCAATTGCATGACCTTGCATACCTTC